TATATATATATATTATAAAAAAACCCAAGGGCTGATATATTAAAGATAAAGATACAAATAGGTTTGTATGGGTGGGCCGAAACACCCAACTCATACAGTACAACACACAAAAAATGTAAAAGATTGGTACATATAGAAATAAAAAGAAACCCAAAAAATACCCGGGCGCTGAAAAAATGTGGGTCATCTCAATTTAGTCTTGCCTCTGGCTCTCGTTCTCGGTAGTGATCCAGTTAGCAGATTGGTCAGGTGCTGACCATTACCCGTAGTAACGAAAGTATCATCCATAAGACTTCTGAGCTCTAGTAGATCTTCATTCTTCTTCTTCCTCCTGGAAGTGTAAACCTGTCATTCCTCAGGAAAATCCGTCTGATGGGGTAGAGCTGAACCAAAAGGAACAGTAGTACCCACAATAGGTTCTACAATATGAGAAGTATGAGTTATCGCTACACCGGTTACTTCTTGAAAAAGTGGAGCTGCGAGGTTCTCCTGATTATTAGTCTAAAAACTATAATTTATAGGCAATAGTCCATCAGAATTATTTTATATGGAGTTTGTAGGTGTCAGCAATGCATCACTCGCAATAACAGTAACAGCAGTGTCATGGGAGTGGTCCTCAGGTGCAACAGACACCTGTCTGATAGTATCATCCTCAGGTGGAACTAAAATGTCCACAGCTGTGGAGTTAAACCCATCCTTATTCACTTGACCCTTAGATTTTAAATTAGGATAAAATTTGTGACATTTAGCAAGGATACGACCAAACATCTTACAGTAGGTACAATATGGAGGTTTGTGTTTCGTGTTTATGACGATTTGTTGTCAATAACCATTATAGGTTGTGCCCAGCCAGACTTCAGTAACATCTAGTAAAGTAATATCCCTTTCCACGAGTATTCTGGCCACCGAGGGTCTAGTTAGGTTGACAGTGGGCAGATCTAGTTTCAAAGGATCCCCAAGAATGGCTCCAATAGAGCAAAGAACCTGATGGTGAAAAAAAATGTAGCTTGAGACCCGATAAACTAAACCATACCGGTATAGTGGGAGTTTCATGATTTGAGTCGAAATTAGGAGACCGCTTGAGTAGCTTCATAGGTTTTCCAGCAATGTTAAGATATTTTTTTGGAAAAAATCCGAGTGTAGTTTTCAGGCACGGTTAACTGAATCAAAACATGTCTCTCATCCATGAGCCCCACTTTCCACTTTTAGCTTAAGTTCATCGACTCTCTTTCTGATAACCTCCATAAGAGGGTGTCCCCACTGAAATTTTTCAATAAGAGCAAACTTGAATTTTTCTGTCATGGTAGAAATTTCTGTTTCAGAGAAAAAAATTGCATATTTTTCATTTTTCCTGCTTCCCTTTTGAGTAAAAGAACAATTATCTGTACTCTCACGAGATTCCTTATAACTTGAGAGGAATCCCACTGCGGACTCTACCTGAGGGTTACCCACCACGTGAGCAAAGGAGACTTTGTCCGGCTCAACCAAAAAAGGAGGCACCATCATAGCAAGGAGAGCTGTCGGAGTTAAGCTACAGCAAAGTTGTTGCGGCAGGAACAGTGAGAAGCTTCACGAGCAGAACGGAAACGCGAAGCAAATTTGAGACTCATCAAGCAAACAAACCCGGAGCGAGCGATACCGAGAAGACTCGTCGAGCTGAGAGAAGACGAACGCCGAGCAGACTCGTCGAGCAGACAAAGACGGACATCGAGCAGCAGAACGCCGACCAGGCGGGCGAGAGCCGACGAAGCAGAAAGGTAGAGCGACAGAATCAATGGCGATCGCCATTCGAAACCCTAACAGAACAGTCGTCCGCCATATTATACATACATATATATATGTATGTATGCATGCATACATGCATACATGTATATATATGTATATGTAGGTACGTATGTATGTATATATATATATATATATATATACAGAGAGAGAGAGAGAGAGAAAAGATTAAATGTCCCCCTCAAACTCATAAGGTTTTCATTCCCACTAATACTATTCCACTTAAGTAAGAATACAACAAACAATCAGCATTAGAATTTTTATATTTAAAATTCCCCTCTTATCACTTAATGAACCTTCTTTAGAATTATCAAGCTAATGAATAATTTTCTCCATCGCCTCATCCTCAATTGTATCAATTTTTTCCTCATTTTTAATCGAAGCCATCCCCTTCTTGTCTAATCAATAATAATCAATAAAAATAATAAAAATATTTTAAAATAATTAAAGTTCATAGATAGAACTTCAACTATAAAATCCTAATAGATTTTTTGTCCATTTTGCTAGCTAATGTGTGATACATGAGGTTAATATTTAAGGTATATTTATATTATTTTTTTTTGCTTTTCTTAAAAATAAAAATTGCATACCACCTCAAAAAATTGAGGCAAGGCACATCTCAGTCTAGATGAGGCACGAAAGTCTCGTTGTAATTTTTTTGTAAAATGCATCAAGGTACACCTTATCACGCAACTCTAAACAAAAATTAAGCCATTATTCAACTTTAAAAACGGAATAAAACCATTAAATTACCATATATTAATAATAAATTTATCAATAGCTACAACAAAATATATGTAAATTACATTAGATTCCCAAGGTTGGCATCTTGTACTAGATAGTTCCATGTTATTAGAAATTTTAATCCTGCTCATTTAACATAACTAAGCATGAAAATTTCATCAATGATATATTGAAGATATGGCAAAAGGCATGAGTGATTTAGGCATGTATAATAAACAATAGAAAATACACCCATAAGATGGGTATATAGAATTATTGTTGAAATACGTAGAAACCTGTGAAAAAAACAAGAGTTGCGCATAATGAGTTTAACCCCACACACATCACTTGGTTGGAACGATTGGAAGATGGAAATTCATACAGCCACCCTACATAATTGGAATAAGGCAGATCATGTCAATGATTTACTACAAAAAAAAACTTGGGGCTCATAATTAGTTACTTGCTTGTTTATGAAATTCATGCATCTACTGCATTCTATCCCCTTCATCCCTTCGTTTCACTATCTCGTTAACACACCAATGCTATAAACCCACCCCAAGATGAGGTGAACAAAGATGTTATAAGGTTTCAAGGCAGCAATCCCTTCCCTTGCCCCATCCTCTATGTCCTCCACTCAATTTGAATGATAAATTTGGAGTGTTTCCTAGATAATTACTTCCACAAAAAGATAATTTTTCAAGATTCACAGGGCATGTTATAACAGAAAAGATCTAATAGTGCTACCAGAAAAAATTGAAATCACAAATTAGTGTTGAGAAGCTGGATAGCATATTTTTTTTTAAAATGTGGACCTCAACAAAAATAACCCAACAGCTTCCTGGACGTAGAAGCTGCTTATCCTAAAAATTCTGCGAAAAAAAGAAAAAAAAAACCGATGCGGTCCTTTTTCTTCTAAAATACAAGATATGCGAAAGATTGCACATTGAACTCATAATCAAACTAATCAGCCGTTCAAACTTCTTGAGAAAAAACCAATGCAAATTAATTAGTCCTTCAAACTTTTGGAGAAAAACCAACATAATAAGCAGTGTAGACTTCGAAGTGTAAAAAGACGTATGGAATAGAGAAAAGCTAAGAATGTCTAAGAAATGAATTCTGCTTTTCTTTATATATCAATTTTGTGTATTAAATTTCGTTTAAATATATCAAATAGTGAGAAGAAAACTCCAAATTAAATAGTGAGAAGAAAACTCCAAATTAAATCATAAGAGACTAACTGTACATAGATTTTTATCATCTGAAACATACCCAACTTGTGGCTTTAGTCAAGGGTGGCTCTCCCGTACCAGTAGGTGTAAAATCATCCAAATAAGGCAATTTCACGGGCAGTTCATTTTCTGGAAGAGGGACAATTTCGCCAGTATCATCCAAGAAAATAACCGGGAAAGGTTCTCCCCAGTAACGTTGTCTAGAAAAAAGCCAATCTCTCAGCTTATAATTCACCTAATCAAAGAGAATGTCGATCAAAAATCTACGTTCAGAATAGAACAATTTTGCAGATTTCCGTAAAAAATTAAATTTCCAACTTAGGTGTATGTATAAACACACCTTTTTCTTCCCATGACCTGAACTTTCAAGCCAATCAACGACTTTAGAAGCAGCTTCCTTGCATGACAATCCATTGATATCCAGACCAGACATTTGATTTGATGAGTTTATAGCAAAACCATCCCCAGTATATGGCTCATCAAGCACATTACTTGCTTCAAATGGGTTCAAAACCTTAATAATTGATATATGGTATTTCAAGGCAAACTCATGGTCACGAAAATCATGTGCTGGGACAGCCATTATTGCTCCAGTGCCATAACTGTGAATTAAGGTTGCAAAATAAAACTTCTATTAATGCAATGTCTGCAAGGCTTCTACAACATAAATTGTCTTCATCCATATAGGAGAAAAAATTGAAGTGATAGGACATCATGAATATCACTACAATAAATAATAAATGAAAGCTTGTAATATCCCATTATGAAAGTAGTTGAAGCATAAGAAACAACATTTTAAATGAGTAAAAGCCATAAATGATATGGATTTAAGAATCAAGACAGATTAACAGTACAACCTATTCATACATATATACAACAATGTTGCTAATTTGCAAAAGGTTTTCAACTTTTTTTAACATGTAGGGAGTGAGTAGTTCAGAGACATAAGACTGTAAAAAATCAGGTCTTCTTTTTTTTTTTTTTTTTTTTTTTTTTTGTTTGGTGGGGGTATAAAGGGTTGCGTTAGCTAGTTGATAGTCATTGCAAAACCTTTTCGAAAAATCATAACATGGATTTTTAAATCATAGTATAAATATGAGGGTGCCCGTAAAAGCGATGCATTGTATGGCTTGAATACATTGAAAAGTGTATAAGAATCGCTACACCGACGTCTAGGTATAATGTTAAATAAGTAAGGATTCCTAAATTATGGATGGATTCGAGCAAAATAGTTACTCTATAAAACTAATATTCTGAAAAGATTTTGGAATATAGATACTCTCACGAGTAAATTAATAGAATTAGTAGATATTATGGTTCACAAAAAAATAAATATCTTATGCATTCAAAAAATTAAATGAGTTGCAGAAAAGACTAAGGGTTCGTTTGATTTGGCGGTAGGAGTGTGGTGCGGGGGTTGGCCGCAATCGCGGTTGTTTGGGACAGCTTCCCGAGTGTGGCGGGACGTCCTTTTAGCTAAACGCGGGCCGCTAATCAAACCCCGCTACCCGCATTCGAGTGATGGCTTTTTACTCGGGTTACTCCTTCGTGGCTCCTGCCCTAATTTCCTTTCCCCCTATTCGATGTCGAACCCCCGCGCTCCTCTACAATTCGATGAGGCCATCACTCCCTGTCGCTCTTCTATTCGGCGAAGTCGTCGCTCGTCGCTCCTACCTCCCTGATTCTGTCCCAAACTATCAGGTATCCTCTTCTTTTCCCAATCTCGCGATTCACATGTTGGTTTTTTCTAGCTGTCTCTGTTGGGGCATATGGATTCGGTGGTTCTTGTGTTGGCCATGATGACAGCGTGTTGTGAGTGGTTCCTTGTTTGGCTGTAGTCAAGGAGTTGGTGGTTCGAGGACTTTCTCTTCAACATATGTGAATGCTTATTCATTGTATTTGTGATGTTTAGATTTGTAAATGTTGTTCGGTTGTATAAATATGAATGTTAAATTTTCTTGGTGGCTCGATTTTGGGTTTGGTAAGTTGTATGAAAAATAAAATTGACCTTTATGGCTTGGGGATGATAGCAATCTGATATTAGATATTTTTGAGTGAGGGTCAATATTGGCTGTGAATACACATCATTTGGGTGGTCTGCATGACAATCTAACAGAAAAAAGGAAAAAAAATGATTGTAGGTGCGGCTTGGACATTCTTATTGTTCTTTGGAGTTCTTGATTGTTGTGGTTTGGGCATTGATGTGAATCCATATCAATTAGGTGGTTGTGGCTTGGGCAAAAGTTTTTATTATTGTTGTTCCTCTTTCAACTTTATCTAATTGGGCAAAAGTAATGGAAAAGTGGCTTATTGAAATGAATATAGTTGTAATCATTGGAAATTGTGCTAGCAGAGTGGATGTGGATGTGGCTTGGGTGGCTATGGCTTGGGGTTGTGGATGTTGCTTGGGGTTGTGGGTGTGGCTTAGGGTTGTGTGGGGTGGTTGTGGTGTGGGGTTATGGGTGGATGTAGCTTGAGTGGATGTGACTTGGGGTTATGGGTGGATGTGGCTCGGGGTTATGGGTGTGGCTCGGGCTTTATGGCTTGGGGTTGTGAATGTGGCTTGGCGTGGCTGTGGCTTGGTGGTGGATGTAGCTTGAGGTGAGGGTTTTGTGGAGGCCTGAGTTGGTGGTCGTAACTTGTTTGCTATTATTCATGTTGTTTCAATTTGTCGGGCCTGGTAGAGTGCATTTTCTCTTGTGTAGTTTTTTTCACTAATCTTGTCAAGGCTCTACTTGTTTTGGTTGGTGGTTCTTGCATTGGTTGTGGCAATGGTGTTGGGAGCATTTGTGGTTATAGCTTTTGTGCATATGGTTTTGGTATTGGGTGATGGGTTGTGTTGGGCATATGATTGTGGTTTGAGGCATGTGGTTGTGGGCGGGGCATATGGTTTTGGTTAGGGGTGGTGAGTTGTGTTGGGCATATGGTTTTGATTGGGGCATGTGGTTGTGGGCTGGGGCATGTGGTTGTGGTTGCGGTTGGTGGGTTGTGTTGGGCACAGGGTTGTGGGTTGGGACAAGTGGTTGTGTGCTGGGGCATGTGGTTTTGGTTGGGCGTGGTGGTCGTGCGCAGGAGATGGTTGTGGGTTGGGGTGGTGGTTGTGTTGTGTTAGAGCATATTGTTTAGTGTTGGGCTAGTGGATGTGAGTTGGGCTGATGGATTGTTGGTTTGTGCATATCTTGTTTGATTTTTATTCACTTATCTTTCTTCTTATTATCACAGCAATACAATGACCAAGATTAAAGAGACTGTTACACCCGCATGTTAGATAGAAAAATAAAAATAATATTCTGTGAGATTTGCCTCAAGGAAATAGATCTTGAAAATAGACCCACGACCTTCTTCAATAAAGAAGGTTGGCAAAAAATTATCAAAAAATTCAATAAAAGTATAGGCAGAGAGTACGAACAATATGAAACTAAAGAACAAGTTAGATCAACTCAAAAAGGAATGGAAAGTTTGGAATAAATTGAAACGAGGATCAAAGGGTTTGGGGTGGGATCAGTTGAAACGAACCATTGATGCTTCCGAGGAGTGGTGGGTGAAAAAACTTGTGGTCAATTTAATTTTCATTTAAAAACTGAAGTAGATGTTATGACTTTATAGGTGGTGTCAGTTGCAAAGAAATTTAAACTCAGCGGCCTCAAACCTGACTTAGAGGAAAAGTTTAATAAAATGTTCGAAGGGGTCATGGCGACTGACAAATATGGTCAATTTAATGTGTCTTAATGTGGTGAGTATCTCTAACATGCACCTTAATGTGGTCAATTTAATTTTCATTTAAAAACTGAAGTACATGTTATGACTTTATAGGCGGTGTCTGCTACAAAGAAATTTAAACTCAGCGGCCTTAAACCTAAGTTGGAGGAAAAGTTGATAGAATGTTCAGAGGGGTCGTGGCGACTGGCAAATATGCATGTGACCCTAGTGAAATAAGTTTTGGTGGCAAGCCCAAGAATTTAGCTGTCGAAAAATCAGGTGATTCCAGCGAAGTACCCAGCCTAAAACGCCGTGAAGTTGAGTTCAGTAGCCATACTAAGCGTCCTCTGTTTGAGAATAAAAAGAAAGATGGTGTTGCTTATCTTAGAACCCAGATCTCATCTAATGGCTTCTCCCCCCACCCCCCCCCCCCCCCCCCCAACACAAGCCGATTCACTGGATACGGTTCTGGAAAATTTGAATTCAAGTAACAAACATTCGAAGGAGTTTTATTTGTTTGTGATAGAATTGCTTAAAGACCCGACCTGTAGTGAATTTTTCGTGAAGATGTCTGAGGGCAAAAGGTTTTCGTAACTACAATATTTACAACCACATGAAGATTTGAGACACTTTTTTTAATTACAACTGCTTGGGACATTTATGTTGGTGTGTTATTTTAATAATGTTGTGGATATTTCATATGCTTGGGAGAATTTTCTGTTATTATTACTATTCCAAAATTTATGTTATTTGTGCTTCAACAATGTTCATTATGTTATTTGAGCTTCTTGGAACATGGTTGTATCTAATTTATTAAAGTTTTTGTATCAGCTACTACAATATACATCTATATGGATTCAGCAGAGAAAGACATAGAAAGAGAGCTGTAGTAGTACGATAGATCTACAAATATTACAATAAGTACGTAAATCGTTCCCCATGCTTGACATCCGCATATGTTAGAGACAAATGGGTTGGGGAGTTGTTTGTTGGATACTTAACGAGATTCAGCAACATGTTCTGCATGAGACAGAAAATATTTAATGACCTTTGGGCGGAACTAAACAGATTTCATGGACTTCATAAGTCATCGAGGATGATTTCACGAAAGGAATTGGCGATAACAATCTACATATTATCCAGAATGAGTCAATGTGAGGCACAATGGAAAGATTTCAACACCCCTCCGAAATGATTAGTAGATACTTCTCAGTGAGTTTAGAAGCATTTATAAGCTAATCTTCACAAGTCATATAACCCACTGATCCTTTGTTCGAACGGACTCTTACGGAGGTTTCACACGATGCACGGAACTTGTCATTCTTTAAGGTAACAATTCAAATTGAATGCATTCAATTTTAAAAATGCATGTCGTTCATTTAAAACTCGTTTTCATTTGAGTAGGATTACATTGGAGCAATAGATGGAACCCACATTGATGCACAGGTTCCAAACAATGAGAATATCGTATTGATCAAACGTTGCGGGTCCCTTACGCAAAATGTCATAGTTGTTTCCGACTTCAACATGTGTTTTACTTTTATAATGCCCATTTGGGAAGGTAGTGCGCACGACAGCAAAATTGTCAAAGCTGCAACGCGAAATAGCCACCGTAACTTCCCACATTCTCCTAAAGGTACGCTCGAGCCCCAAAAACTCTCGTGTTTCTTTAACCTTATACTAATTATGAAATATATTTTAAATAAATATTATTTTGTTGATGTTGGATATCCATTACAGCAAGGATATCTCAAACCCTATCACGAGACAAGATATCACATACCTGATTTCAAACGAGCTAGCAATGTAACAAGCGGCAGAAATAAATTGTTTGATAAAAGGCATTCCTCCTTGCGCGGTGTCATCGAAAAGACTTTCGAAGTTTGGAAGAAGAAATGGGATA